GAGAGAGAGAGAGAGAGAGGGAGAGAGAGAAATATTAATAACAAGTAAAGGTGAAAAATTATATTCATGTGTTCATTTACATTTAGTAGGCCAAAATTGAAAAGGAGAGAATTTTCCAGTTTATTTGATGCATATACATATTCTTATGTTGTGTAGAAAGTTTGAGCGCATTCTGGTCAAACTTAGATTTTTTATGAATTTTTAAAGTTGCTCCGAAATCAGACAAAAGTCCCTGTACTATAGTACAGGGTCACATGCCAAATTTCGCCAAAAATGAAAAAGTGAGAATTCTCCATTTTTATATTTTTTCTTTATTCATATACATGTTCTTATGATGTGTAGAAAGTTTGAACACATTCTGGTCAAACTTAGATTTTTAATTAATTTTTAAAGTTGCTCCAAAATCAGACAAAAGTCCCTGTACTATAATACTACAGGGTCATTGGTAAAATTTTGCTAAAAATGAATAGGAAAAAATTCCCATTTTTATAATTTTATCTGATGCATATACATGAACTTATGTTGTGTAGAAAGTTTAAGCACGTTCCGTTCAAAATTGGATTTTTAATGAATTTTTGAAGTTGCTCCAAAATTGTGTCAAAATCCCTGTACTACAAGAACATAAAAAATTTAAAAAAACAAGATTGAGTAGGATTCTGAACGACCAATGAAAATACAAAATGAAAATCCTACTCTCGTGATGCAAATTCTACTCTACATTGTACTTTTAATATTATTATTTAAAAGTTATGGATCACCTTACAATGTAAAGTAAAATTTGCGTCACGAGAGTAGGATTTTCATTCCGTATTTTCATTGGTCGTTCGGAATCCTACTCAATCTTGTTTTTTTAAATTTTTTATGTTCTTGTTTGTGTTGATTTTTTTATAATATTTATAATATTTTTTCAGTTACAATTGTGATACTTTTTGATTTTACACAAACAATAAGTTTCTTTATTATTGTTGTCATTGTTATGATTTTACAGCATTTATGAGGGACAGCACTGATTGAATTGAATAGATATGGTGAAGGAATATCTACTATACTGATGACAAGTGAAATGAATACTATAGTCTTGATGTGAATCCTTGTTCAAGAAGCTCTATCTTCCCAGCAATCCTGTAGCTATTCCTGCAGGTTCTTCCTGTTGTCCAGTTCATTGGACTCGCGTAAGCGGGTACTAAGCAGTTGGGTTGTCATTCTGTCATTCTGTCCACACAGTTTAATTGATTTGTAAAAAAATTATATTTTTGTTTGAGCAGTCTAGAGCTCTATTTCTTCTTGTAGCAACAGATAAAGTTGCTTTCTTTCATCTAGTTATGCTCTTGTAGCATCCCGTGGCACCAAAAGCTGTGAACTGCTAAACCAGGGGACCTCTCTCCAGGTGAGAGCTCGTGTTTCACTCTACAGGGCTGAGATTTGCTTCAGAGGTAGAAAATCCCATCTAACAAAAAACAAAAGAACGATTTTGTCCTAACTTCGTTGTTTGTGAGTTACAGTTGCTCAAAGTTTGTGATTTAGCCTCTTTGAGAATTTTTCAGGCGACACTGCGGAAAGCAGGAGCAACCAAACTCTCTCAGTCTCTTTTAAATATCTAGAAAATTTTCTTTGCCAACTCTTTCTTGGAATAGAGCTTCAGATGCTAAAATAAATTTCAGCTTTTCTTCTTTCTCCTACCCATGTGCCATAATTTAGCTTAGTTAGTTGTTGACCACACCCATAGCTTATTTTAATTATCATTATAACTATGCAG